CGCGCTTTGACTATAGAGTTTGCATATATTTTCATGCATATGATATATTTGACCAATTACATCACGAATAGATTGGTTTCACATACATTTCATCTCAATTTTATTATGGGACTAGAATTTAATTTTCGTGCGCAAGCGCGCGCGTCATATTTATTGTCATGATATATTTATGTGTCGTTTATGTATATTATATTCACTTTCAACCAATCAGAATGAGAATATTTATTTTCGACCAATCACATCACGAATAGATTGGTTTCACATACATTTCATCTCAATTTTATATTAGGATAAAGCATTTTGCACGTCTCATAAGCGAGGCGTTGAGGTTGTGCTCTACTCTCGACATTTCGAAAAAAGCAGTTTTCTCGAAACTGAAATTGTTTTTTTGTTATTTATATCGCACTTATAGGTTAATATGAGTACACTTGTATCAAGTCGAATAATTTGTCAGGCACATAAAATATGTTTCAATAACAATTTTTTTGTTTAACATAGTAAATAATAACATTAAACATAATCTTTTTTGGACGTCCGTGTATGAATGGGTGTATGTGGCAGGGAAATTGGTCGAAAAAATGATCGTACCGGAACAATTTTTTTTTTTATTATCTAAAGTAACACACGAAGGATTTTCCTAATTAATATGAGCGTTTAATTCACTGTCGTTAAATTATTATTTATAAAAAACTAATATATGACTGTGGATTTTTTTGTATATCTATCTATACATTTTATTATAGTATTTTTTTTCCTCACCTTAGAGTTATGGCGCCACTAAACCATAGCAGAGTTTTCTGTTTTTTATTATTTTGCTTTTTATATTTTATTTTAATCAATTTTATTGTGAAAAATGAGATTATGAGGCGTGCACTTTTGGATTTTCCAAACTTTTTAATTATAGTTTCTCAAATTTAATAACTAATTTCAATCGACAAAGTCAATCATCTGGAAACACCAATTATTGACAGGCTGAAATATCGATTGATCCAACTAGTTTAATACCGTTGCACCAATTATTGTCACCCTTGATGCGCATACCTTACCAAAGGAGAAAAGTTGAAAAATTTTAATAACTTTAAATAGAATTATATATAATAAGTGTATTAAAGTGTACAACAACAACAACAATATCCCAACTGTTTAACTTTACTCATTCTTTAATATATTCATAAAAAGAGTTTTACGATGACTATATTTGTGGTTGTTATTCTTTCTTCTTGGCCATGAGGAAAGAAATGTACCCCATCGATGATTTGAGAAGCTATTATTTATGAATTAATAAAATATAAGATGTGTATATGGTTCAATAAAATAACTTATATATGTAAAAACGAAGGACTACAAACTTTTGCAAAAGTATTGAGTGAAACAGGTGCAAACTTTCCGATCGTTATATGTAATGGTCTCTGAGAACGTACCGCCAGTATAATTAATTGTTTCGAGTCTTTCAAATCCAGAGTAGTCCAATTACAATTGTAAGTTGCTGCATACAAAAGTTGGCTCTGTTTGAAGAAAAAATTAAATTAGCCAAATAATATATATATATATATATATATTGAATTAGCCAAATAAGGCTTAAATTTCTTCGAATATTGATCATGCATGAGAAATGAATAGTTGTATGCCTACCTGTGTGATTAAATTTTCTCCGACCCATGAGTATACGAACATTAGACCAATAAAATAAAAGATATATATTGCGTAAAAATTCATTTGCAGTATCGGTACCTGAGGTCCAGTACTTCCCAATGACTATACAAGGAAATAATTATTAATTTTATATTTCTTATTGAATTGAAAAATTATACTTTAACTTGAAAGAATTTTTATCTTAGTCCAAGAAAATTAAATTTTTCAAGAGAATATTCGATTTTTTCATTTTTATAAAATTAATAATTCTCACTAAACTGGGTTACTTCCCGTTGATCAACCATTTACTATTCTTATACATTTAGTTGTAAGCTATTTTTTTTTTTTTTGACGTGAATAGGAGAAAACTTACATTTACAATCAAAAATCCAATGGTGCTTAAAATTATTCCAAAACATATAACAAGAAATAGAAGCAGTGAACCAAACATGTCTTTTATTTCTTCAACTAAGCTAAATTAAAAGAATAATACTTTATAAATGATCGGATTGTCTACTCCAATAAATAGGTAAATAACGAATATAATTAAACGGATATTTCTCGCATAGAAAAGAAGGTTAACTTGAGCCAAGAACATTATTATTATATCATTTTTACTTGTATACCCGACTAGAAATTGTAGTGAGGCTATTGCCAGTCTCTGAGCCAAGAACATTTTGATCGTTAAAATTTTGTCTTTGAACTAAAAAAAAAAGCTCTTTTTATTAATTCAAGAGAACTTTTTTTAGTTAATAGTATAAAAAGACTTGGATTAAAAACATAACTTATTTTTTATTGGAAAATAAGGTATTCGTAAATTAAGGTGCATCGAGACCCTGGCGGATCTGAAATACCGTAGAATTACGGTATTATACGGTCGATATACTGTATGGTCACCGTAGATTACAGTAGTATTCTACTTGCACGGTAGAAACCGTAAAGCACCGGAACGTACAGTAAAGAACGGTGAAAATACGGTATAGAACGGTATAATTACGGAAGCGTACGGTGAAAATACGGTAGAATATATACTTCTGAACTTTCCGCATTAACGTATTTCAATGGTAACCTACCGTCAAATATACCTATTTTAGCGATAAGTTAACGTACAATTACGGTACATTACCGTACAATTATGGTACTTAAGCTTACAATTATGGTACTTAAGTGTACAAAAACAGTCCTTTTTTACCGGATAATTATAATATTTTACTAACAACTCAGGGGACCATTTATCCGACTAGAAGATTGGATGAAGTTTTCGTGTTATTGGAGTTAGTCGAGTCTTGAAACTAAAAAATTAATCTTGGGCTGATGACCCTTAAAAGACAATTAACGAAGACTGGTCTGAGGCTAGGGAAACACAATTATAGAGCTCGGGCTAAGTCTTAGAGTAGAAAAAATTAACACTGGCCCAAACATTGGAAGCCTTATAGTAATTTAAACGCCAACTCATTAACTATAAAATAATTTCATATTAACTCATTTTGTAAAATATTAAACGAAAATGATAAATAATTACTCTTCGTTTAAATTAAAAACTACATTTTTTTTTAAATTCGAAATTAAGGTCCCTGATTAGAAAAAAAGATTTGAAACGATTCGAAATAATTCAAAGTGATTAAAAACGATTCAACTTGACAAATATATAGATATACATTTTGCATGGGTTGAATCGTTTTGAATTTTTTTTTATAATAAGGTCGTGCACTTAATTAAAACGAAGTCTTCATTTGGTGATCGAGAATTTAATCACTTTTGTCTGGAACTATAATGAACATAGGAAAAAGACATTTAAACAATTTATTTTGTTTGATAAATAAAAATTCTTTCAAAAATAATATTTCTATTTTATTTATGGTGTATAACGAATTAAAATAACTATCCAACGTTCAAATTAGTAAAATAAATGCCTAAGATTCAATTTCAGTATTTAGCGCAGTTGGTATTCTCTAAATCTGAAACACTGAAAATCATTGGAAATTAGTGGTATATTCACTATTTTACTGTTATAACCCAGGTAGGGTTTGTCAATACTGACAAATGGCCCAGCCTTGGACCATTTGTTACTTTGCCAAGCCTTGGTAAGTTACCAGTGGCCCAGGCCTGGCCCGAGGCTTGGCCCAATGGTTCAATATTTTGGAACCAAGCCTTGGGAGAAGCTTTACGTTATCGTATCTCGCGATTACACCAGATTACCTTGAAAAAATCTTTGCTCACGATGGGAATCGAACCTGGGTCACCCGCGTGAAAGTCTCGAACTGTACTGACTTTGCTGCACTTCGTAGTAATACTAACAGATTAGTTTTAGTTACTTAAACATCACTCAGTCATTTTGCTTTATTACATGATATTCCATAATTAAAATTGAACTTATAACTGCTAAAAATTTTGTTTAGTTCAGATAGTATAATTTGTTGACATAATACCGTTATGAAATATATTTTTTTTTAATTCATTTGATTTTAACGAAATAATTAAATTTTCTATTACCAAAAATAAATATATGAGAGAGAGAGAGAGAGAGAGAAATAAACATTTCTTTTGGAGAGAAATAAACATTTTTAAAATATTCACAATATGTATCAGTATTAAATTTATCATTTTTTATTCACATGGAAAATATTTTTTGAGCAGTTTTGAGAGTTTTATACATTTTTCAGCAACAAAGAAATGATAGTTAAAAATAATTTGTCAACGATTAATAACTATATTTATTAAAATTTTTTTGTTGACAAGTCATTTATTGAATTCTAATAAATTCTATCAGTGTTCGAAGTATTGGGCCAAGTATCGAACCGGGTTTAAGTCCGTGGTGATTTTTCAAGGCTTGGTTGAAATGTATCGAGACATTGGGCCAAGCATCGGACCAGGCCTCGGCCAGTTGTGATCTCCCAAAGCTTGGTTCCAAAATATTGAACCATTGGGCCAAGCTTCGGGCCAGGCTTGGGCCAGTGGTGTACCCCAAGGCTCGGCTTGAGAATGTCGAACCATTGGGCTGAGCCTCGGACCAGGCTTCGGCCAGTCGTGATTTCCCAAGGCTTGGTTCCAAAATATTGAACCATTGGGCCAAGCTTCGGGCCAGGCTTGGGCCAGTGGTGTACCCCAAGGCTCGGCTTGAGAATGTCGAACCATTGGGCTGAGCCTCGGACCAGGCTTCGGCCAGTCGTGATTTCCCAAGGCTTGGTTCCAAAATATTGAACCATTGGGCCAAGCTTCGGGCCAGGCTTGGGCCAGTGGTGTACCCCAAGGCTCGGCTTGAGAATGTCGAACCATTGGGCTGAGCCTCGGACCAGGCTTCGGCCAGTCGTGATTTCCCAAGGCTTGGTTCCAAAATATTGAACCATTGGGCCAAGCCTCGGGCCAGGCCTGGGCCACTGGTAACTTACCAAGGCTTGGCAAAGTAACAAATGGTCCAAGGCTGGGCCATTTGTCAGTATTGACAAACCCTACCTGGGAAGTGAAGTTAAAATTTTTTCAAGGTAGTATGGTAAACCCTACGGACTACAAAAGTTCACGCGTTAATGAAAATTCAAAATTCCTAAAAATTACTAAAATTAAAAAAATTTTTTTAGACCCAATTTTTTAGTTTCCCAAGGCTCGGCTCAACTTTGACCCCGTTGTTCCTCAAGGTTTGGCCCAAGTCTTTGTTTTTAGTTTATCAAGTCTTGGAACATGGATACCATCCAAGGCTTGGATCATGACTCGCCCAATGGTCAGCCAAGGCTCGACCCAAGCCTTGCACTGAGCCGAGGGGCATTGGCTGACGACGAGCCAAGGCTTAGTCCAAGCCTTGGCCAATGGTTCCTTCCAACCAGGGAAGTAAAAGTGTTCTTGAGGCAAGATATCCTTTTTTTTTCTGTGTCTAGGCCAATTAGCGTAATTTTTCAAAATTTAGTCATCACTTACTTGATTATACGATAGTGTCGAAGAACAATATTTTTCAATAATATTTTGATCATCGACGACTGGCAAGAATCCGTCAAATAATTTATCTCTTTAGCTAAAACTTTCAATTGTCCACAGCTGTGTAATATAGAAATTCCAAAAAAAACGTCTATTTCGGTGTAATAGAATCCAGTGATGAAACACAAAATTACGTGTAATATTCTTATGATTAAGCATCGATACCCAACTGTTATGTCAAAAGGATAAACTGATTGTGTGGAAATCAAATGAGTTGGAATGTCAGTTAAATTAGTAATTGTGCGGAACAAAAATCCGAAGGCTACACTACCATGGAAAACTATAATGCTATAGCTGATATTCGCTACGCCACAAACCATCATTATTTTAGCGATTCTCGCGTATTTTATCATTATTTTACGCTCAGAATCGTTTTTTAGTTCCAGGTAATCATTTTCAATTAAATTTATGATACGGGATATAGCTGAAAAGCATTAAATTTTTAAGTAATCAAAGTGCCTGTAAAGTCGATCAACCCTTGAGAAAAATACTAATCAACATTTACTGATAAGAACGAATTGAAATTATTATTATATGACTTATAATGCGAAGTATTAGTGAATGCTCTACGGCTAGAAAATTTTTAATTTGCTGCTTTGAAAGTTGAGAATTAAAAAAAAAAAAGGAAATTATTAGTTTGGGTTGGTTTGAAAATCAAGTTTTCATCATATCTTCACGTTTTGAGACCTAAAGATCTTAAAAAATTAAAATTAAAGAAAAGTTTTTCTTCAAACTGAAAAACAAATAACTTTTTTCTTGAATCAATTAAAATTTATTGAAGCTAAAAAAAAGTTTCAATGTTCCAAATTTTTTCTATTCTAATCGAGACGATGAAGGTTTTCAAGATGACATTCTTGATTTATGAATCAAGCTAATTTTTTTGTGTACCCTCAATATTAGTCTAAAAAACGTCAATTTCGACACAAACGTTCCAATTTTCATATGTTTCTTTTTTCGAAACTAAAAATTATTTATTTTTTCACCTATTTAATGAAATTTTACTATTGAATTCGTTTTAATAATTCTGAAAGTTTTCGGTAGTTCCAGAATATTTACTTCCGTTTCAGGCCCCGAATTGCATATTGTTTTTTTTTTTTTTTTGATTGTAGAGCACCCAAATTGTGCACTTAAAAATTTTTGAATTTTTTTATAGTTTCAAAATAATTTACGGTTCAATAAAAACTCATTGGAATAAGAACGAAATATCCAAAATTATAAACACAACGTTCATTGAATATATGTGTACACAGAAAGAAAGATTTCTTGACTCGAGAACAAAATTCTTGGCTCAAGTAAATTTTCGGTTGTACCACGAAATCTCCCCGGACAAAATCTTCCCGACAAAATACCCTTCAAAATTTCGTTGTACCCTTTTATCATGATTTTTTGTGTATATTTACACGAAAAATACCATCACAACTGTCAGGAATAATAAAATTATTATTTAAAATTCGATTTTGTCAGGGGAGATTTTGTCGTGTCACCGAATTTTCGGGTGTCCGAAGGAAGACCGAAGTTGTCTTGGCCGAAGTAAAAATTTTTCTTGAAATTTTATTCTTGGTGGAAGTAATTTTTTCTTAATTCAAATTATCATAAATACTAGATATAACTTTTTATATTTGATCAAGATTTTTAGATAATATTTTGGGGAAGCAGTGCCACCTACTTCAGCTGAGAAAAAAATTTTCTTAAATTGAGAAAATTTTTCTCTTGAATATTTGATACCCATTTTAGATTATTTTAGAGCGCAATTAGGGGGGGGGGCAAAATGGGGTACTTAAGCAATCGTTATGATTTTAAGGACTTAAATACGCTGATTTTTCTCGTTTTCAGTCGTAATTAAAGGAAAATAATCAAATTTCAAGTTGCCGTAGAAAAAAAATTTTTTTTTTTTGCGGGCAAAATGGGGTACTCCCTGAAAGAGTGAAAAAAAAATTCCTTCATCCGAAAATGAAATATCGTTAAAAAAAATAACATTTTCTTATCGATAAGTCTACGAAAGAACCCAAAGAGAGGAACAAATCACCCAAAAAAGAGACATTGTTAGTTGAAGCAATATATTCCTAACAAAAATTGAGGTAGTAAAAAAAATTTTAAAACTTTGTCGTAATTTTTGACGGGTTTCGCTTGAGTAAAAATAATATCAAGATAAAAAAAAAGAGTTCTCTTGAGAAAATTCTAGTATTTGGAACTCCCGGTGAAAAAAATTTTAGACTCATAGTTTTCACGCAATTCAAAGTAATAGCACGAAAAAAAAGATTCGTAATTTTTTTTGCACTCTTTTTCTTGGTTTAGGGATTCAGGAAAATTTTTTCAAGTTGAATAATCTTGTAGGCCTGAAGATTTTACAAAAATCGATTAATTCTTCTGAAGCTCCCTCAAATCGGGGAACGAACGCCAAGGCGTCGTTCAATGATATGCTCTGATTCGCGGCTAAAACCATTTCTTCTGAGTTTTCGATATTTGGGATTTCTTGATTTTGTTGGACGGGATCTTGACCTTCCCTGTTATCTTCGATTACCGGTTCGGGATTGATGTTATCGCGATTTTCCGGATTATTCGAGTTATTCGCTTTGGGTTCCTCAGTTAAAGTCGAATTATTGCCAATCGAATTAGAACTATTAGCACTGATATTTGCTACAGAGCCCGAGTCGGTTCCTTTCGGTGTTTCTTTACAAGGTTCTCCGTCCGAATCTTCGTCTGACGTAATTTCCCACTGCAAGGTTTGGCCTAAACCCGAGTCAACTGTTTTTTCAGCCTCCGGTTTATCCGTAAACTCGAATTTTTTGTCAACGCGCTTCCTAGTAGGCGGATCTAACCCTTCCGAAAACGGCGCGTCTCCTAGTTTTCTTAGAGAATAGCGGTTCTGATTCTCTTCATCAGACATTTACTTTATTAAATTTCTGATTTTAAACTTTATTCTAAATCGATAAGAGGGACCCAACCGGCTTTAGCTACTCCTAAAGATAGTCCCGGAGGTTCAGGATTTAAACGCACCCGATTAATTTTTTGTATCGGTTTGTTACCCTCACTGAGGTATTCCCAAATTATTAAAACTACTGCCTCTTTAATTTTACGATTGCCAATTATTTTTATCGCGTTTCTTTTCCTCCAGTATCTTCCCGACTAGAAATTATTTTGGGAATGCCCAAGGTACCCATCTGGGCCCCATTGGGTTTCAATGGGGCATGCCCAATAGGGAAATCCCAATGAGGACCCAATGAGAACCCAATTGGGAATTCCCAATTAAAAAGGAAATAAGTTTATTGTCAATTTCTCTAGTTGGGATTCATGTAGGATTTAAATGGGAATACCCAACGTGGAAATAAAAAATTTTTGGCATTTTTTTCCAGTTGGGATTCATGTGGGACCAAAGTGGGAGTGTCCAATGTAAAATTAAAAAATTTTAAGAAGTTTTTTTCTCGTTGGGATTCATGTGGGATCTAAATGGGAATACCCAACGTGAAAATAATAAATTTTTGGCATTTTTTTCCTGTTGGGATTCATGTGGGACCAAAGTGGGAGTGTCCAATGTAAAATTAAAAAATTTTAAGAAGTTTTTTTCTCGTTGGGATTCATGTGGGATCTAAATGGGAATACCCAACGTGAAAATAATAAATTTTTGGCATTTTTTTCCTGTTGGGATTCATGTGGGACCAAAGTGGGAGTGTCCAATGTAAAATTAAAAAATTTTAAGAAGTTTTTTTCTCGTTGGGATTCATGTGGGATCTAAATGGGAATACCCAACGTGAAAATAATAAATTTTTGGCATTTTTTTCCTGTTGGGATTCATGTGGGACCAAAGTGGGAGTGTCCAATGTAAAATTAAAAAATTTTAAGAAGTTTTTTTCTCGTTGGGATTCATGTGGGATCTAAATGGGAATACCCAACGTGAAAATAATAAATTTTTGGCATTTTTTTCCTGTTGGGATTCATGTGGGACCAAAGTGGGAATGCCCAATGTGAAATAACAAAATTTTTACGAGTTTTCTTCTAGTTTGGATTCATATGAGACCACAGTGGGAATATCTAGGGTGAAAATGGAAAATTATCAGTTTTTCAATTCATCACTTGCAAATGCATTATGTGATTATTAGCATATATTTGCTGTAAATTAATTAGGAATACGAATAAAAATTAGCTGTTATAAGTATAGAAAAGAATAAGGAAAAAAATTAATTCAACATTGTTAAACAAAAACAATTAAATTTAGTTAAGCTTTTTCAAATTTTACATAACTTTATGTCTTAAAAAATTTAGTTTTACGAGATTAAAAATAAATTGTAACATATTGGGATGAATTCGAAGAAAATTTTAATCAGAATTAAAATTTAATCCCATCACTCGGAGTTTCGGAGTGAAGTAATTAAGCAATTCGCGCACGGAGTGAATCCGGAGTTTTTTAGCAGCGTCATCCCAGATTAATTTGGGATCAATTTCAGATTAAATCCAAATACTAAGTTGTTAGACTGAAATACATTTTTAATGTTGTTGAAACGAGATTCATACGTAAATTTTTTTCTTTTTACTACAAAAAAAAATTTTCACTGAAAAAAATTTTTATTTTCAATATGTAAGAATTCAATTTTTGAAGAATATCCAACTTTTGAGGAGATTCACATTTGCAAAAGAATTTGTGTTATAAAAAAAATTAAAATTTTTGATAATGAAATTTTTATCGATATAGGAAAATTTGGTAATTACTTACAAGTGAGGTCAACCCAAGCTAAGCTGTGTTAAATTTTTTTTTTTCATCAAATTGAACAATTGTTTTTTAAATTGTTCGTTTTTTTATGTACTTAGAAAAAATTCAAAAACATCGAAAAAAGATAAAATAGAAATTTTATGCAAAAACATGAAAGCCAAAATTTTTTCTCAACATCAAAGGCAAATAAGCTATTGAAATCTTTATTTTTTTCTTTCACAACATTTTTTTATCATAAATGCACCGTAAAAACAAGCAGATAAAAAAAAATCAAAAATGTAATTTAAAAAAAAATTTGGATTTCAAAAAAATTTTATTTTTCTAAAAAAAATTTTTTTGCTAGTATAAAGAGGATTCCAAATCAATCGGGCAGTTTTAAGGAATTATATTTTTGATTTTTCCAATTTTTAAAAATTTTTCAGTAAAGTTTCTTTTTTAAAATTTTCATTTTCTATTTCGTTTCTACAAAAACTGTAGTTTTAAGTCAGTAAAGTGAATGAAAAAAAAAAATAATTTCTTAAATTTCTAATATAACATGAATATTGTCTCAGTAAATCGCTTAAGTTGATGTATACGAAATAAAATTCCACTGTAACAGTACTCCTGCTTGGACCAGCGGTAACGTGCACGACTGAGGACCCTAAAGACGCAAGTTCGAGCCCAACTCACGCCAAGGATTTTTTCAACCACTAATTCCATTTCCATCAGAGATTAAATTCACTAATGCGTTCTAATATAATATAAGTGTATAATCCTGAAGTATTTTTAATTTTTTCGAAAATTTTAATATTTTTTCTTTCAAAATTTAGATGGGGTTCTGATGGGGATTTCCCTATTGGGGCCCAAGAGGGATTGCCCAATGAGGGCCACATAGGGCTTTGCGTTACATCCCTATGTGTGGTCCCCATTGGGCAACCCAATGGGGACCCAATAGGTCTTACATTAAAATTTCTAGTCGGGTATATATGTGTCACATACCTCTAATTTATATTTTTTTTCGCCGAAAATTTATATGAACAATTTTTCATATTCTTGTCTATATGCTTTAATGTATATTGGATACATCTGTTCATGTATTAAATGAAACTTTGAAATTTTCCGAACAATGGTAAGAGGTAAATGGCTTGTCCAAGCTTTCAAGTTAATACTTTTAGTCTGTTTTTGATAGAAATAATTTATATTTTTTTTTTTACGGAAACTATAAAAATATTTTTTTTATATACATGCAAGCCGTTTATTGTTATTTTATTTATCATTAATGATTTGAAATTTTGTAATTATTTTTGCCGAAATTTTCACTCAGTGTTTTGTCACACTAATTACAGAACAGTTAAGGATTTGAATCTAAAAATGTAATTTAGTATTTTTCTTAGAGTATTTACTAACAAAATTATAATTAAATCAAAAAACCTTTTCTTTTAGTCCACAAAACCAGCAATTTTATTTGCCCACTAAAAACAGGTATGAAAGATAAAAAGTTATCTACAACTAACGTCAAATCACTCCAAACTCTGATTAATGCAAATATCTCAGGCGTCGAGAAAAAGACAATTACACTCGCTGCAAAAAATGGAGACTGCAAGTCCATCAAGATTTTTATATACCACTTTGTCGATTTTGGGTACAACCAAAGTCCCGATATTTTCAACGCTTTTCGATGTAAGCCAATCGCCCATTCGAACAATTTATTATTCAACTCTTGCTCTGATACACGAGAACCAGATTGATTTGGTTCTATAAAGCTTGTGAAATTCATTATCATTTGCTTCAGAGAATATTTAATCCTGATAGCAGAGGATAGTATTGTAAGTCAACGTGGCTTTTTTTCTCAAGCAATCAATATTAAATGCACAATCACATTATCAGGGAATGAAGCGCTCATTTATTATACATTTACTTCAAAAGTTGTTAAATCCATCATTTCCTATCATTTGAAACTTTTAGTCTATATCATGTGCTATTATTATTGATTAATAGTTAATAAACCATATGGTCTTTTCCAGATATTTTTTATTGAATTTATTTTTTTTTTATACAAAGCTATAACTGTTGTATCCAGCAATGTCTAAGACATGTATTTTTTCACTAAAGATAATCTATTATAATTTATAATTTTTTTTGTGTGTGAACATTTTTAAATAATATGTTAATTGTGATTTCAGGAGTACTGTCGAGTTAGTTTGCAAGTATGGATGAAACGATAATCATAAAATCAACTGCAGTTTAGTCCACCAAGATTAGTAATATATGCTTTCTTCGAGAAGAAGCAGGGGTTTTTTCATCCAAAAGTTGATAGAGGATAAAAAGTTTGGAGCAAAACACCGGCTTTGAGTATGATTACACTAATCGTTAGTCTATGAGATTTTTAGCTGTGGATTATAGCGTTACGTGGTAAGTAAAGTCCGATTAGTTGCTTGGATTTGGGCATTGAAAATCTTGAATTGCATCAGATCAACATGACCACCCAGGAGGTTTTATATGACAATAGATGATATGAGTCTTTACTTTTATTTATTTTACATTCCTATTCACATGTACGCAGGTATCAGGAACTTATAACATTGCAGCAGTATTGCTTCATCACGCTATTGTCTAATTGCTGGTAAGACAATAGGACAATAGGAGAAATTTTACTAAGTATATGAATTAAAGTTTGTACTTAATTAAATCATCAGACAATTTCTGTTTTTAGTAAAGTTTTGAGTCCAATTTCTGAGCTTCTGAATGTTTTTCAATTATTGTTAAATTTCTTTTATTTGCACAAAGTTTTATAAAATTTTACTGAATTAAAATGAAGGAAAGTTGAAAAGTTTAAATAGCCATAGTTAGAATGTAACAAAGGTATGAAAGTCTACTGCAATAATACCCAGCATCAATACTTTCTATACGGCGAGTTTTTTTATGTAGTCACCCTGATTAAACATAATTATTTGATATGATTGAAAATTATTAAAAAATCAATCATTTCAAATCACGTAAATCATTTTAGAAATTTCACAATTAATCATTATGGATCGTTTTTCAATAATGAGAAATCGACAAGATATAGAAATTTTGGGTCATTTACAACCTGAAATAATGTTCGAATTTTTGTCACCTATCATGATTGGAAATGATTCGGTTAGTATTAGAAATTTTTTTAATCATTTCATTTTATCGAGGCATATTTATTTGTGACTGTTATTTTGACTTCTTGACAATTAGAAATTAAATGTTCCTCATTGACGCCAATACATTAAATACTACAAGTCACTTTGCACGCCTCTATTAATTAATTGTCAAATTAGTACTTCTTTCCTCTTTATGAAGCTTTTAGTAAATTTACGCTTGACAATCTCTCTTTAAACCAATCACATTGCAGTTATATCTTATAACAAATCCGCTTTTCTGCGCAGCAAAATTCACTTCTTTAAGCCCCCACTCGCGCAAGCAACACTTGTATTTCCCAAACTTTTGTTGAGGTTGCGCAGAAATGAAGTCGAGTGCTACAGGCCAACCACCACTTCGCTCAGAGCAGTTCTTCATCCTGTCACATATAGTTCTGATAAATTTAAATCGTATTTTTTTAAATTGCAACTTCAATAAAAAATACTTCACCATGTAAATTATTTTACAATAAAAAATAAACTCGAATAAAATCGAATTTAACTCGAAGTTTAATAAAATTCATTTCTAAACTAATTATTGCTAGTTCCCAAGCGGCATAAATTTTTTTTGTTAATGTTTTGTTGAACTTAAGTTGACGATTATTAATTTTTTAACTTCTTGTTAAGTGAAATCTACCAAAAAGTCAACATTTTTTTTGTGACGCTTGGGTTTATTCATTTTCTTATAATGTCAATTACTTATTGCAGATTCTGCGGGAGAAACTTCGTCAATTTTTTGAAGTAATTAATTGTATTAATTGCCAAATCGTATTTATTTGTACACATCAACAAAAAATTTTTTCTTTAAAAAAAAATAAGTAACAATAATTTTTATAAAGCGTCGAAATCATTCACAGTGGTACTAATTTTTCGTCTTTGTTGTGTTATCGTGTGTTATTTGAGTTTCGGGTTTTTTGTTGAAATCAATAAAAATATTTACAGTGCAGTGAAGAATTTATTTAAACTCACCATGAGTATAACTTTTTTATGGATTATTTTATGGAATTTCCTCCTGCACTAGATGATCAATTTTTTAAAAGTTTATGTTTAAACGTTACGAAGTTGTTTGTGAAATGTTATGAATATGATCGAATATTTAACGAGACGTAATTGTAAATTGTGACATACAATGACCTGATCAGACATGAACAGATCTGATCGGATCTGTTCATGCCTGGTCAGGCCCGGTCATTTTTCATATTTAATCACAGACCTGAAGATTCATGCCTGCTTATATCTGATCATTTTTTTCCGGGTTGTCGAAAAAAATGTTTTTTTAAGAATTTCGATAAAATTTTTAGTCTGACCAGTTCGCGCTCTAAGATTCATCAAAGAGCTTAGAAAACTGCGTTAAATGCTGTAAACCGCGAAAAAAATCGGTCCATTCATTCAAAAGTTGTTTCAATTTAAAAATTCAAAAAATAGTGTTTTAATAAATTTTTATCAGACTTTCGAGCTCGGCTCACTTAGAAGTGTAAAAAATTTATCTCTTTGAGTTCGAAATGCTCAAAATAATATAAAAATTATTTTTAATTAGTTTTTTCCATATCATCTTTACTGATCGATTATAAAAACTCATCAGCTTTTAACCTCGAAAGACTAAGTTGATCGCCGCCGTACATTTCAAAACCAATTCTATTGTTTTTATCAATTATATTTTTTCTATAAAAAAATTATAGAGGAAACGTAATTTCTTTGTAGAAATTGATCCACAGACTCGGTAGAGTCTGGCGCCAAGTCCCGTTAAAATCCGTTGTAGACGGAGTGCCAGACTATTATCGAGTATGTTTACTGTAAGCAGAACGATATTTTGAGGTTGCAAAATTTCATTAATTTTACAGACCTTTTTTTTCCTTTAATAATACTTTATAATTATACTTTACATCTTATATTACCAATATTAATTAATTATGATCAGTGATAATTATGAATTCCATTTAAAATTAATAAAATTCACTGGCAAAAACTATAGCAACCCAGATTTTTAGATCCTGACTTTTTTCTTAGGAAGAAAGTGACATGTTGTATGCCGTAGACCATATAAAATGAGAATGTATAGTAATCCTCCAATAGATGGGAATAAATTGTAGATTCAAGGGGATAGTTTGCCATAAAAATTGCAACTAATGCGAGATTTCAGTTGTTACCGAAGAAAAGTAAACTAAAATCTTAAAAGGGCGTGAGCACATGTTAATGGACTACAGTACTTCGCCTGCAATCATTCTCTCATTTAACCCTCTCTAATTTTCGGCCGAAAAGTATTAAATTAAAATTGTCAATTTTTATTATAATTACAAAAAATACTAAAATCCGAATAAAAACAATTTCACTGTAAAAAAATCGCGCCAAGCCCACATTCACAAGACTATTAAAAAAAAAAATTTTTTTTCCTTTACAAAAAGATATAAAATAAAAACAAAAATCCAAGTAACCGATATGATTATTAAGCTTGTTCAGCCGAACTAAGTCCTGAGTAAACTTAGTTAGCCTAAGTATAGTCAAAGCATTCCCTGCTATACATATATCTATCTACTATACTGTACATATCTTACTAAGTTTACTCAGGACTTAGTTCGGCTGAACACGCTCATTGTATATGATTTTTGGAAATTAAAACAAATTTTGTTGTAAATTTAAAAATTAAAGAAACAATTTTAGAACGTACTTGGTGTACGTGGTTGCAGAATATTTTACTTTTTATGAAATTCGTGAAATCTAGTGGAACTGCTTTTGTTCGGATTTAATAAGCCAACGACGATTACAATTTTAACATAGCGCAGTAGTAAAGTCCGATTAGTTACTTGGATTTGAGCATTGAAAATCTTGAATTGTACCAGATCAACATGACCTCCAAGGAGATTTTTGAATTGTAAGAAATGAATTGAGCCTTTAGTTTTATTTATTTTACTTTCCTATTCACACATGTGCAGTTACCAGGAGCTCATATTGCCGAAGAATCATTGCACCAACCCCTACTTTCTCCAAATCGAGGTAGTCTCAATATTCAATACTATCTTGTTCAATGAGATTAATATAATGATTATTGTTACTCTTTAAATAAACTTGAAACAAAAGAATCTTAGGTGCGACTTTCAACTTGACCAATAGTTTTGTATCCTTTATACTTCTTTTTTGTGGAAAAATTTCTCGAAAAAATTCTGACAATCTCTGAAAAAGGCAAATATCCTGTACTGAGATTACCGACTCCCGGGAAAAACGGATTAGATCTGACCATATATAAACAGATCTGGCCAGATCTTTAAATTGTCTCTATCTGACGAGATCTGGTCAGATATAATCAGATCTGACCAGATCTGGTCAGATCTTTAAATTGCCCAGGTAAAAAAGATTGTATATAATTATATATACTTATCCATAATTATACACGAAAAATGACCCTATATAATTATATAGAATTATTTCTATAAAAAAAAAAAAAAAAATCAACACGCGCGGGAACCGAACCTGGGACCTGACGCTTGAAAGACTTTTTTTTTTTGGTTTGAAAAAGGTTATTTATTTTGATTGTTACTCTTTTTACATAATTAAGTAACAAATACCTTATAAAACTTACTCACTAATTTTTGAATTTAAATATTTTAGTAGTCTTCAAATGAAGCGTCTCTCTAAAAAACAATTATATTAAAAATATTATAAACTTGAAAATTTCTGATGTTATACAGTGACTATTATTTAAATAAGTAAATATGTGATGGAAAAAAAAAGTTAAAAAAAATAATAAAAACCATCAAAACAGTATCGGGCCTGAGAGGCCGGTAGTGGAAGGGGAAGAGGGAGGGAAAAGGAATGGGAAAGGAGGGTCGCTTGAAAGACTAATTCATTACCTGTTTACCAACGAGGCTTACTTGAAGAGTAGAATTTGTAATAACTATAAGTAATGTGAATCGTATCCATGATCGATGCGTAATGAACAAAGTTTTTTATTAAATTTGCAAATTATTAATTATCAATATACGCTTATAGAAAGATTTATTAACTATTAATAAATTAATTTATTCGAAGACAATTATTTAATTTATTAAATTCTAATAAATATTTTTTAACATTCAATAAATATTTATTTGGGAGGAAAGTATATTTAGTAAAATAGTTTATAAGTATTTATTAATAGTTAACAAATATAGTTATATCTGGCCAGATATAATAAAATCTTTTTATGTCTGATGTATTTTTCAACCCAGATATAGTTATATCTGTTTAAATCTGATCAGATATGACTAGATCTGATTATGTCTGATGTATTTTTCCACTCAAATATAGTTATATCTGTTTAGATCTGATCAGATATGACTAGATCTGATCATGTCTAATGTATTTATCAACTTAGATATAGTTATATCTGTTTAGATCTGATCAGTTATGACTATATCTGTTCATGTCTGATGTATTTTTCAACTTAGATATAGTTATATCTGTTTAGATCTGATCAGATATGACTAGATCTGATCATGTCTAATGTATTTATCAACTTAGATATAGTTATATCTGTTTAGATCTGATCAGTTATGACTATATCTGTTCATGTCTGATGTATTTTTCAACTTAGATATAGTTATATCTGTTTAGATCTGATCAGATATGACTAGATCTGATTATGTCTGATGTATTTTTCAACTCAGATATAGTTATATCTGTTTAGATCTGATCAGATATGACTAGATCTGCTCATGTCTGATGAATTTTTTAACTCAGATATAGTTGTATCTGTTTAGATCTGATCAGATATGACTAGATCTGATTATGTCTCCAATATCCCATATCTGATCAGATATAAATAGATCTGACCAGATATAATTAGATCTGACCAGATATAATTAGATCTGACCAGATATAATCAGATCTGACCAGATATAATTATATCTGGTCAGATCTAAACTGTTTTCCCCGGGCTTTTAAAAAGAGTTATAAAAGTCAATTCAACTAATTAAAATTTATTTAATTAAATAAATTAAGTAGAACAGAAAGACTTTTTCAATTATTTATAAATAATAAGACTTTTCTTTCTTTTTCAGAAAAAATAAAACTTTCAGAAAATTGTATTGAGTTCTGAAGATTTTTTCAGAGAAAATTTTCCACAAGGGCTGTCACTCAGAAAAATTTTTTACGAAAAGTAAATAATGTATCAATTCTACGCAATAAACTTTAAATATAAGTTAATATATAATTTTAAATAAAGATTTTGATTTTGTGAGTTAAAGTAATCAAAACTTTAAACTAAGTACACAAATTTCAGTCGGAAAAACATGATAACTCTCAGGTTAAAGAATATTATACTTACGCCTCAGCTGATAAAAATATTTGACTCAAAATATTAAAATTATTTTACAAAATTAAATATTTTCGATAAAAACTAAAAAAACTATTGATTCGAGAATTTCCAGATTCTTCATGCAAGAATTTTTTAATCGTTTAAAAAAAAAACTGTTTTATGGGCGAAGAACTTTAATAATGAGTCAAAATTGAAGACACAAAATTTTATGATTAAAACATCAATTTTCATGTGTAAAAAATAAAACTTCATTTTTTACATCGAAAATAGTATACATAGCCCACAGAAATTAGTCAGTTTTACCCAGTTTGGCTGTGCCAAAGCTAGCTCAATTTGTTTATGAAACTTCGATTGTTAATAACTAATAAACTATAAGTCTGACAGAAATTTACCCGAAAACAAAGTTGTAGATTTTTTTATGCTCTACAAATTCTATGTGAAAACTTAACCCGCCAGATTAATAGTTTCAGAGATATTTAATTTTTAATTTACGTTTTTTTTTGTTTGCCTATTATTTATTAACAAATTGAGATACTTGTTAGAATTTCATATTAACCTACTTGGATTTGAAATTTCAAGAAATTTAAATTTTTCGATCAACTTTCAGTTGGCACAGCCAAACTGGGTAAAACTGACTAATTTCTGTGGGCTATCATAAATTATACTTTTTATGGTCGCATCTAATCCTCTACAACCAATTGAAATGAAAAAAAAAATCACTACAGGTAATTGTCCATATAACACGAGCGGTCACTCATCCAACTATTGACCCCGCTCAACGCTACTTAACTTTCGAGATCCCGGTGCAATTTTATAAAGTACATAACGTATCAAATCAGTTAATTATAAATATAATATACAAAATTGATTTTAAAATATATTTTAATACTCTTAATCTGTTAATTTTGTCCGAATTTCATTATAACATCACATTTATTTAAATATTAATAAAATTATGAGACAGTAACATGGCAGACCAGAAAATCCCATAGAATTTGTAATTGATTTTGTTTTTTTTTTTTTATAATTGAGGTTATAATTGAGGATGGTTTTAGTTGTATCACTGTAGAGTGTTTTACAAGGGAGGGTGGGGAATTATTGTCTCTCCACAATATAATTATGCATCTCTCAACCACGAACTCTCAATCACTTTTCTCGCCCCCACCCCCCTGCATGTCAGAATTTTTTCTTTCATGCCCGACACACATGTGCTGCGACTGTGGCCGACTTACGCGTTATAATCAGTACCTGCATTTGCATTACGGCCTTAAATAGTATAGAAGGTACTTCTATAATGACATTTTTACCTTCTATAACTATATGGGAAAACCTCAGAAAACCCGGCTGGTACAGAGGCCTGGCAATGTAGCGCACATATTTTTTATTTATAATCACTGAAAAATATTGGTGCGTGCCAGGATCGAACTCGGGTCCCACTCTTTCGAAATGTAGGCACCGAGCCGACTCGGCTATTGCCAGCCTATTGTTATTTTTTATAATTACTCAAACATCATATTACACATAAATTTTGTACTTTCTATAATTAAAAAAAAATTCTTTTCCAGCGGAACATTGAAAAAAAACTGCTGTTATTATTCTCCAGACTAGATCAAACATGAACAGACATGGTCATGCATGAATAGTTCAACCGGGAAGTTAAAAAGTACACAATAGCACTTGATCGTTTTTTTTTCGACATATAATAATTTAAATATTTTCTTTTATAATTTTGAAATAGTATTTCTATAGTAAATAATTATTTGAAAATATTTTTAACCTTCCGACATTGTCGGACCGACAATACTAAATTGATTAAATTGAAGTACTTATATTTAAAATCATTTATTATATTGTTCCCCAATAATATAATTACTTAAACTATTTTTAGATAAATTTGGGCACTACAGTAATCTTGACTCACTTAAACTTAGTATGTCTAGCTTTAAATTTTAAGTTACTGTAACTTTATTATACTTCAAGAGTGAATGATATGAATTTTGTAGGTAATTTTATATTGAACGACAAATTTTGAGAAAAGGGAAAAGAAAGGTTAAAGAGAAAGGTGGAACACTCAGTGAGAATTTTTTATCAACTGAAAAAAATTATTCAGAGAGCTCGGACCGAGAATCGAACCCGGATCTTTTGCTTACGCGCCAAGAGCTTTTCTAGTTAAGCGATTCAAGATACCGTCCATAACTACCTTTCAGCCACCCAATTATTTTTTGGTTAACACGATAACAGAAAAATATTTATTAAAATATAATTCATTTAACTATTTAACTATAAATAGTTATTTCAACTAATGCATAGTTTAAGGAATTACAAAAAAAAGTTCGGAAAAATATATTTTTATATTTGTGACGTTATGATTCAGCTAACTATGCACTGTTCTTTCAGTGTGAATTTAAAGATAAATCGACATTGTTAATCGGATCAAAACTATTTATTACTGATATTTTTAGTCATTTTTAAGTGAATCGCAGATTATTTGATTGAAATATTTTCGCATTATTTATATATCTTAACTTATATTGTAAATCTATAATTTTAGGCGTGAAGCAATATAATCTAGATCACGTTTAAACAAATTTTATCAAATTTTTAAATAACAACTGTGAACATTCTTTATTGAAAATAATTATCCAACAGAATGAAACAAAATATACGCTGAAAAAGCATTAATCATCCTGGCTTTGTGTTTTGAGGTACAACCTCGTCATCAGAGAATTGAGTACATTATAAACGGTACTTGTCTGGAACAATATTCCTGTAAGGAATTAAATTAAATATTTTGAGGTCAAAATTTTTGTAATATATATGTGATACTTACCCATCATATTGGGTATGAAGGTTATAATTAAACTGTACAAGAATAATTACATACGTTATTGTTGATCGCACAATCTAGAATTAGAAAAAATAGTCATTTATTGCAACCCTAGTGGTTTCGGTGCCACCGATAAAACTCCGTACAAACTCGCCCGAAACTCAGAGTAACGACGGAGTATTGACACTACCTTGTGGTCGAAAACACCACTACTCAAACCAGGTCATGTATTCTTATGGCGGTGACGTACTTGCCATGTGGCGTTCAAAAATTTAACTACTCAAACCAGGTTTTGATAATAGGTCTTTTTACACGGTGTCATTTACCAATAGCCAGCGTATATGGGGAGTAAACTCGGAGTATTGTGTGCAGTTGTGACACATAAAGACGATAGTGGTTAATTGGGATCGTTACGAAGTTTCGTTAGAATTTCGCTGGTGTTCTCAGAAAGTTTTCCCCTAGTTTTATCAGTGTTTTTTTGGATTTTCTGTCAAGTTTAGTTGGCGTCTTCACTGAGTTTTTGTGGAGCTTTCCAGGAGTATTTTGCGAGTTTCATCGGAGTTTTCTGATTGATAATGAATGAAAAACCGAAAAAAACAATTCGGATAGAGCGGGACTCGAACCCGGACCATTTGGTTACACAACAGAGGCTCTACCGGTTAACCTATCTGAGATATTGACCAAATCTACTATTCAGTCACCTAATAAGACCCACCGAGTAATAATCACCACTATCTATCTTACGAAAATCGATTAAAGTTTTGAATTGCTTCATGTATTGATAAAATTCTAATTTTAGTTGTGATAATACTGTTTCAGTGTATTACCAACTGTAAACTTTTGACAATTTTTTTATATATCATATGTTTTACTTACAAACTTTATAATATACTAGTATACGTTGCGCGCGCAAGCGCGCGTGTGAATGTTGGTACGGAATTATCTATATTTTCATGCATATGATATATTTGACCAATCACGTTACGAATAGTTTGCTTACATGATATATTTTCATATTTTTCATCTAAACTATAAGAGTGGATTTATTATTAAGTGACATATTCTATGTAAATAAATATATTTCAACTTGTAAATAAATAAATAAATTAATAAAAAGTACACCGTAATCAAATGATTTATTTATAGTCGTCTTTGTGAAATCAAAATTAATTTTCATGTCATGAAGTATAATTAATCGCGAGTAAACTCCACAATAACACTACCAAAACTCCGAAAAAACACCAGCGAAACTCTTATAAAGTTCCGCAAAATATCGAAAAAAACTTGAAAAAAACTCGATAGCAACTCCGAAAAAACTCGACAAAAACTCGACGAAAACCCCAAAAAAACTCCACAGCAACTCCGAAAATATTCAACAAAAACGCTAGGAAAACTCCATAGCGACTCCGAAAAAACTCGTCAAAAACTTCTCGAAAACTCCAATAATACACTTTTGTAACTTCGTGTCGTAACTGCACATAATACTCCTTGCATACACCTTTAAAACTCCACGTCCTCCGCTTATACCCCGATTAAACTCCGAATACTCCACAATAACTCCGCGTAAACTCCGAGTTTACGCTGAGTTGTCGAAACCGCTAGGGAAAATATTAATTGATGATTACATAATTAGTGTTTATATTGAGAATACAATTACCATGGCAACATGGGAACCGTCTATTGTAAAAAGTCCAAAAATAGATTTTGGTATCCGTCTTAGTAGAATTTCTATTGAAAACTGCTCCAACTTCAAATAAATAAGTTAGATATCTTTTCAACACTTAGTAAATAACATTTATTACCTCAGACTGAATTTTTCCCGATGTTGAATAAATGTCCATGATCTTATAAATAATTTCTCCCGCTTTCTGCATCTGAAAGTATCGAAATAAATGTATTGGTTCTTGCTAATCATACACTGATATAAAAAATTAACTTGAGTCAAGAGAAAAAATTAAGAAAACGGTTGACCATCTAAAGGCCATATATCCCTACAACTTCTCGTCAATTCCATACCTAAGTGCTTAAAATTGCACGTACGACATTTTTGAGCTCTTCGAGCTCAAAAATATAATTTATGTGTTATTTTAAGCTCAAAGAGTTAGCTGTTTTATGCTTTTAAGCACTATTCTTTAAATTTTCAAATTGCAATTACTTTTGAATAAATAAACCGATTTTTACGTGGTTGGTAGCATCAACACAGTTTTTCAAATCCTATGATTTATGTTTAAACACAAAAATTGATCAGACTGAAAATTTGGGAGAAATTTGAAAAATTCTCTTTCTCCGAATTTCGAATAATTCGAAAATTCAAATTATTCGCAAAACGGGGTAAAACCAATAACTTCCCAAATTTTAAAAAATTTTTAATTTTCCTTAGCGGAAAGTTCAAAATCTTAAACCAAAAATACCATTTTGAAAAAAATGATCTTGATTGAAGAGAATAAATAAAATTTTCGAGTCAAAAAATTATTCTTGAACCAATAAATTATTCTCGTGCCAAGAATTTATTCTCTTCATTCAAGAAAATCATTGTCTTCAAAATGGTATTCTTGGTTCAAGATTTTCGCTCTTGAATCAAACTATTTTTCATCAGTGTATGATTGCCACTTCTAATTTTTTGTTCAATCATGGTAAGAAATAAAAGAAAAATGCAAACTTCAACTGTGATTTGCGTCATATGTCGTGCCATTATAATAATGATAAACATTTCTTTGAGCACAGAAATCGGGCACTTAATAAAGATCACTACATTAGTTTCTTCCGGGTGAAGTATTAACCGTTTGACAAACTTGAACGCATAAAGCAGCATTCTAATACAAAAAATGGTCATGGCGAAAAATATCGGCCAGGTGAAGAACTTGGATATTTCTTTGAAAATGTCGTATAAGCTCCGTTGCAACTCTCTGATCAATACAATAGTTTTCAAAATCATTTCATTGTGCGAAGAGCTTGTAAGAAACGTAACCTCATTCTTTAATCTGTTATTATCACTCTTGCTCAAGGATAAAAGCAATTCGTTCATGTAATTTAGCCGTTTGTTAATGTAGTAAACAATCAAGGAATATTGGAATATTAAATTATTGATAGTTATCTCAATAAAAAGAGTGACCAGAGATCTTTTCCAAAGACCTGGATACTCAAAATAAGTCAGTGCTACATGAGAACTCGTCAAAGATATATAGATAACAAACACAACAGTTTCGTAGGTTATAGACTTGTGCAGCCGTGAAACTGATCTGTTAAACTTGTCCAGTAAATCATCTTCTAATTTTAGCAATCTGCTCAAAACTTCTATAATTGCTCCTTGTTTGATGCAGTAGTATCCCAAAATCACTGGAGCAGCGAATGCGCTGCTTATTACCATACACTTGCCTAAAATGTACGTCGGGTCTTCTGCATTATGTTTGGCTATACTGAACACCAACAACCTGATCATCGGAAGTGATAAAATAAAATTATATACAATCCCTTTTGGTGAGTAGAGCAATCGGATCCTTGATCGTTTCTTAAAGAACGGTTTTGGCAGAACGCTCACTTTGAATGGTGCGAATCCAGAAACTTTAAAGAATATGATCAGTAAGCGGATTGGAAGTGTCTTGGACTTTGATAACTTAGCTAAGTTCATTTTAACTTTTTTGATGAAGCTAAGGTCTGATAATAACTGTCGTATTTCGAGGTTGAATAAGGAACAGATACTGTGGGTTATGCATTTACGAAGTGAATATTAAATTCAATATGGGGAGGTTTTAATCATTGATGTAAAGAGATTGCATTAGATTAGTAGAACAATATTTACTCAAGTGCTGTCCGAGGGCCGGTGATTGAATTTGGGCAACTATGTAGGCTTTATTTTAATAAAAACTACATTCATTACAGAAAAATATTCTTACTCCAACAAAATTACTTGAAAACAACCGATTGTCTTTCACGTATTTCTTGTCTTTAATTTAAAAAAAGCTGGACTGAAGCCAATAACTTTCTGATTTTTTTAAAATCATTGATTTTCATAGCAGAGCGTTAAAGAGTTACCTGAAAAGTTCTGGAACAGTTCCTGATGTGGAACATTCCGATGATAAGACGATCAGGAACATGCTCCAGAACACTTTCGGAATATATTCGAACTACTTGTGGCACAATCTCGGAACACTTCCGGAACTTCTCCGGAATACTTCCATCAGAACTTCTTCGGAATACCTTTATAGATATCTCCAGAAAATTCCTATAATACCTCCGCAATATCTCTGAAATAATTCCGGAATTTTTCAGGAATAACTCTGAAATTCAGAAACTGTTATCGAACTTTTCAGGAACTTGTTTTTTTAAAAGGATAAAACGGTTTTGGTAGAAATAAAACGCTTAAAGACGCAAGGCCAGATATCTTAAAGAACATCGCTATGAAAAACATCGAGGTTAGCTTGGACTTGGATAATTTACGCCGATTCATTGTTACGTTTATCATAACAAGGGTTACGATTGACTGCTTCTTCAAGCGTAAATGTTGTTGAAGGGAAAAAGGTGTTTTTGTTTAATTCATATATATTATATGAATAAATTATAAAGGTCACTTGATAAGATTGTGTATGACGAACGTACGTGTGTGTGTGTGTGTGTGTGTGTGTGTGTGTGTGTGTGTGTGTGTGTGTGTGTGTGTGTGTAAACCTCTTGTAACTTTTGAACGACTTGACCGATTTCCTCGCGGTTGGTGTCATTCGAAAGGGCTTCACTAAACTTAGATTTCCTGAAGATTTGAACCGATTCGGACCTGTAGATTTCGAGAAAATGCAAAAAAAGTGAAAAAAAAAGTTGTTTTTTTTTCATTTTTTTTAAATATCTTCGAATTGGCTGAACCGATCGGTCTCAAAAACTAATCAGCTCTTAACCTTGAAAACCCCCATGGATCGCCACCAAAAACGTCAGAATCGGTTGATGCGTTCGTGAGATATCGTTGTCGAAAAAAATCGAAAAAAGTGTTTTTTTGTAATAACTTCGAAATTCATGGCTCGATCGACTTAAACTTGAAAATTTTTCATGGAGCTTCAGAAACTGCGTCGATTGCCGCCAATCGCGTGAAAATCGGTCCATTCATTCAAAAGTTATAGCAGTTTGAAAATTAAAAAAATCGTGTTTTATCAAATTTTGATAAGACTTTTGAGCTCAAAGAGCTCAAAAGCTTAAAACAGCTACTTTTTTTATAGAGCTCAAAAAACTGCGTCGATTGCCGCCGACCACCTGAAAATCGGTTCATTCATTCAAAAGTTATTGCCGTTGGGAAATTCCAAAAATTGTATCTCTAAACTGCTATCAGAGTTTTGAGCTCGAAGAGCTCAAATTGACACAAAAACAATATTTTTGAGCTCGAAGAGCTCAAAAACGTAATGTGTAGTTTGAAGCGTTTAAGTACAAAATGAGCGGGAAGTTGCAGGGATGGCCTTTAGGGTGAACCGTTTTTCTAATTTTTTTTTATTTATTTCTACTATTTTAAATATAAATTTTAAATTTGGGACTAAATTTTTCAAATATTAAGTGAATGCATTCATTTTCATGAAAAAAAAAATTTATTAGGGGTATAATGCGAATAATTCGAACACGAATTATTCATTCCAACTCGAATAATTCGCAAATTCGGATTATTCGAAAGTTCCCGAATAATTCGAATTTTTTCTGAATTATTCGTGAATTATTATATTATTTGCAAATTTTCGAGTATTTTAAATTCAGAGTTTGTTACATTCAATGTTGAGTTACCATCATGATCTAGAGAACAATTCATATATTTAATATTACATTACTTAAATAAAAAACGAGATGGTGTGAGTACTGAGCTTACACACACACACACACACACGCACATACAAGCATATGTCCCGTAAACACATAGACAGGAACCCAAATAAAGGGCTCAAGCTCGATCTTGGGCCCCGTGGCTCGAGTCGTGACAATAATGGTTGCTGCTCATGCGCGGAGTGTCGAGCGGGAGAGACGCGAGGCTGACACGTGCAGGCACGAACCAGTTGCTCTGTAACTTTGCTAACAGTAACATCTTGTGATCACAATTACATTTCTTGAATACTATCATTCATTTATCAATAACTACAGATTAACATTACATCTACTAATAATTGCACATCAATATATTAATTAACTAATCAGTAAATAAATAAATTTAACAAACCACAGAAATAAATCTCAACGCAATATAGTATCATCTTATAACAACACGCGATTGTTAATTCAACCTAACGCCTCTCGGCTACTAATTCCGCTATTGATCATTGTTAACAATAAACAACATCATTTAATAATCGCATGAATTCGTATAATCTTCACACCAGTGAAAAAATAGTTCTAACATGTACCTGAAGTTCCGAACGTTCATTTATGAACGAAAATCAAAAAAAAATTTTTTTTGCTCCTGAAACTGAAAATGGTTTTTCAGTTTCGAATAGAGACAGTGAGCCCTAAAAATGATATATTAGCTCCTCCAAATCCAAAAACCACCCCTCCAGCCACCCCAAAAACTTACACTTGGAAAAAACAATTTAAGATAAAATCCTTCCAAGGGTCCTTTGAAGCTGGCGATTTTTTGTAGGACTCCCACAATACCCCCACACAATATAAAGAATCACCAAGACATTAGCTGCCCCGGGACTACCCCTCCAGCCACCCCAAACACTTATGACATTAAAAAAAAATTCTGAAAAAATCCTTCCGCGGGCCCTTTGAAGCTGGCGATTTTTTGTAGGACTCCCACAACACCTCCACACCATATAAAAAATCACCAAGGCATTAGCTGCCCCTGAACTACCCCTCCAGCCACCCCAAACTCTTATGACATTAAATAAAAATTCAGAAAAAATCGTTACAATGGCCCTTTGAAGCTGGCGATTTTTTGTAGGACTCCCACAACACCTCCACACCATATAAAAAATCACCAAGGCATTAGCTGCCCCTGAACTACCCCTCCAGCCACCCCAAACTCTTATGACATTAAATAAAAATTCAGAAAAAATCGTTACAATGGCCCTTTGAAGCTGGCGATTTTTTGTAGGACTCCCACAACACCTCCACACCATATAAAAAATCACCAAGGCATTAGCTGCCCCTGAACTACCCCTCCAGCCACCCCAAACACTTACGACATTAAAAAAAAATTCTGAGAAAATCCTTCCGAGGGCCCTTTGAAGCTGGCTATTTTTTATAAGACTCATACAATACCCCCACACATTATAAAAAATCACCAAGGCATTAGCTGCCCCTGAACTACCCCTCCAGCCACCCCAAACTCTTATGACATTAAATAAAAATTCAGAAAAAATCGTTACAATGGCCCTTTGAAGCTGGCGATTTTTTGTAGGACTCCCACAACACTTCCACACAATATAAAAAATCACCAAAGCATTAGCTGCCCCGGACCTACCCCTCCAGCCACCCCAAACACTTATGACATTAAATAAGAATTCAGAAAAAATCCTTCCGAGGGCTCTTTGAAGCTGGCGATTTTTTGTAGGACTCCCACAACACTTCCACACAATATAAAAAATCACCAAAGCATTAGCTGCCCCGGACCTACCCCTCCAGCCACCCCAAACACTTATGACATTAAATAAGAATTCAGAAAAAATCCTTCCGAGGGCTCTTTGAAGCTGGCGATTTTTTGTAGGACTCCCACAACACTTCCACACAATATAAAAAATCACCAAAGCATTAGCTGCCCCGGACCTACCCCTCCAGCCACCCCAAACACTTATGACATTAAATAAGAATTCAGAAAAAATCCTTCCGAGGGCTCTTTGAAGCTGGCGATTTTTTGTAGGACTCCCACAACTCCTCCACACAATATAAAAAATCACTGAGGCATTAGCTGCCCCGGAACTACCCCTCCAGCCACCCCAAACACTTATGACATTAAAAAAAAATTCTGTAAAAATCCTTCCGAGGGCCCTTTGAAGCTGGCGATTTTTTGTAAGACTCATACAACACCTCCACACAATATAAAAAATCACCAAGGCATTAGCTGCCCCGGAACTACCCCTCCAGCCACCCCAAACACTTATGACATTAAATAAAAATTCAGAAAAAATCTTTCAGCACACTATACAGAAGATTCCCAGATCCATAATCGATAGATCAACCCCATAGACACCGAGTAACAGCCCCAAAAAAGAGGGTTTTTTAATTAAATTGACGGATTTTCGACGTTAGAAAATTCAATCCTCGGTGTCCATCGAAGATTAAGGAATAAAACTCATGGGAATCTTCCAGGAGTCTATACAGAAGATTCCCAGACCCATAATCGATAGATCAACCCCATAGACACCGAGTAACAGCCCTATAAAAGAGGGTTTCTTAAGAAAATTGACGGATTTTCATCTCAATTCTTTTGTCTTCAACAAAAGTTTGAAAGAAAGAGTAGTTCAAATAATAATAACATTTGTTAGAATTATAATGAATCATTCCAAAACGCATATATAAAACAATAATTAGAAAAATTAAATGCAAAAATATAGTAATATATATTAATAGTAAATATAGTAATATATAGTTTACAAAAATTAAATGTAAAAAAGAAGGAAAAGAGCAAGTTTTTGCGAATATTTTGGAAAACTTTTTTAGATATATATAATAAAAAAGGATCTACTTAATGTATAGACCCTGTTTGGTGCACTCTCACTGAAAATATTGTTAAGGCTGAAGGAAAAGCCCGTATGCATTTTTAGGACCCCGGGTTCAAATAACCGATAAGATCGCAATATTTGCCGGGGATTACGGAAAACTAGGTTATTTTGCTCGTTGATAGTAATGACAATTAAATTATTTAAACCGATATAATTCAAGAATAGCTGATTTACCACGGATAAGTTTGTTTTAAAATAAAAATTTTAAAAGTAAAAAACCAACAAAAACTGTCTTTATCATTTTTTCTGTCAATTTTTTTAAAAAAAGTTTTTTTATGGGGCTGTTACTGAGTGTTCATGGATTGATCGATCGATTATGGATGTGGACATCTCTTGTAGGGTGTACTCTATGATACCTATAAGTTTTTTTCTCTTAATCTCCCGTGGACACTGAGAAATGAATTTTTAAAGCTGAAATTTCGCTGAAATTAGCTAAAAATAGCCACTGATGGGGATGTTCCTCCGTGTCCATGGGGTAAATCGATCGATGATGGGCCTGAAAATCTTTTCTAGGGTGCATTCTATTATTCCCATGAGGATTCTTCCTTAATCTCTCGTAGACACCGAGAAATAAATTATTAACAGTCAATTTTTTTTCAATTTAATCAAAAAAGGACTTTTATGGGGCTGTTAATCGGTGTCTATGGGGTTAATCTAACGATTATGGGTCTAGGAATCTTCTGTATAGTGTCCTAGAAGACTCCCATGAGTTTCCTTCCTTAATCTCAGGTGGACACCAAGGATTGAATTTTCTAAAGTCGAAAATCCGTCAATTTAATTAAAAAATTCCCTTTTATGGGGCTGTTACTCGGTGTCCATGGGGTTAATCTTTTAATTATGGGTCTGGGAATCTTCTGTATAGACTCCTGGAAGATTCCCATGAGTTTTATTCCTAAATCTCAGCTGGACACCGAGGATTGAATTTTTAAAGCTTAAATTCCGCTAAAATTAGCTAAAAATAGCCACTTATGGGGCTGTTTCTCTGTGTCTATGGGGTGGATCGATTTATAATGGGTCTAGATATCTTATGTAGAGTCTCCTTTATGACTCTCATAAGTTTTTTTTCTTAATCTCTTGTCTACACCGAGCTTCTAATTTTTTGTCGTCTTTGTATTGTATTTTTACTCGTCGTTTGCCGATTGAGTCCACGGGACGCGTGCGCGCGACAAAGAGGTCCTACCGCTATTCATCGTTTTTTGCGATATCTTCGAAAATATTCACTTTATCAAAAAATCGATAGGAACATTTTTTATTGGTTTTTTAATTTTAAACACTTTTTTTCAGATAAACTTCCCCGTCAAATCAGCCGTTCCTGAGTTATACCGGTTTAAACAATTAAATTGTTAATAACAATTGTTTGTACCATTTTCCATAAAATTAAATACGATATTCGTAATCCCCGACCCAAAATACGTAAGAATTCGTTGGAATTTCCCATTGACATAAAATGTACACGGGCTTCCCTCTTCAGCCGATGGACTAGAATTTTTATTTAATAAGGGTAAAACTTTGGGGTGGCTGGAGGGGAAGTTCCGGGGCAGCTAATGCCTTGGTGATTTTTTATATTGTGTAGGGGTATTGTATGAGTCCTACAAAAAATCGCCAGCTTCAAAGGGCCCTTGTAACGATTTTTTCTGAATTTTTATATAATAAGGGTAAAACTTTGGGGTGGCTGGAGGGGTAGTTCAGGGGCAGCTAATGGCTTGGTGATTTTTTATATTGTGTAGGGGTAGTGTATGAGTCCTACAAAAAATCGCCAGCTTCAAAGGGCCATTGTAACGATTTTTTCTGAATTTTTATATAATAAGGGTAAAACTTTGGGGGGGCTGGAGGGG